TGGCCCTGCTGCCCGGGCCCCCCCGCTCTCAGGAGGGTCGCGGCGGCACCCATCATCCCCAGTCCGACCCCTTAGGCCTTGTTTCGAGGTCCCATCATCCTCGCCTGCTGACTGAGGCTGTGCCCTCCAGCATCCCCAGTCTGACCCCTGCGCCCTGCTCGGCAGGCCCCTCACCCCCGGACTCCCCTTTCCTGCCCCCCGGAAGGGTCGCGCCAGGATCCATCATCAACTTGCTGCGTAACTCTGCTCTCTAGCCCGCATCATCCCCACCCCGACTCCTTAGGCCCTGCTCTCCAGGTCCCATCATCCCCTGCCTGACAGTCTGTTACTGCGTAGGCCGTGTCTCTGCTGTGACTGGGTTGGGGGTGTCTTGATGGCCCCTTGCTTTGCTTGGTTTGGTTGACCTCGGGCGCAGAATGGGGCCCCGCCGTGTGGGGAGAAGAGGGGCTGGTTAGGGATTGCTGCGGGACGGGAGCAAAGGGGGCAGGGGCTGCGGGGGGCACAAGGCAGGGGCTTGGCTTCATTTGCTGGGCAGTTAATAAGGTGCTTCTTGTAGGGTGATACAGAGAGGCTGAATGGAGGGCAGGGGTGGGATGGGGTGGCCTGGAAGGTGTGTGCTAGAACCGGTGGGGACAGGGGAAGAAGGAGGGGCAACCAGAGCAGAAGGGCTGGCTCAGCAGTGGGGAGAGTTTCACTGTGCTGCTGGGTGCAGATGAGGAGGGGGGTGGGGCGGGATTACGTGCCCGGGTTGTAGGGAGAAGATGGTAAAGATGCCAAGGGTGGGCTGTTGGCGTGGTCAGCAGCTGGAAGTGAAGTTCTTGGTGCAGTTTGGGATACAAAGGGGCATGGAGGCAGGTCTTGGCAGAAGAGCATGGGAACGGCAGGCTGGTGTCATTATAGCGGATAATAGCAGATTAGTCTGAAGACACGAGTAACTGCAGATGGAGGAAGCTGCCATCAATGGCAATTTCCTCTAATGTAGATGAATATTATGGCTGGATGTAGACTGGGGGCTGAAGATTGAAATGCAGCAATCGGTAAAGTGTGTCTTCGAGCTCAGGGAGGGAGGGTTGAGAAACAGTGTGCTACACAAATCTGCACTTTTAATATTCAAAAATATTATTTATTATACTGTTATATTATGCAAGCCTAGGTTTTAGCAAAATCGTAGCTTTATGTAAGTTGGATCAGGCTATCCTTCAGAAATGTAAATTATGTTAAATCTATCCTCTTGCTTTTCTGTTCTGTTCCTCGAAAGTGACTTTACAAGATTGAAAAAAAACTTAGTCGGTAGCTTTATCATTCTAAACGCAGGGGTGGAGCAGCTCTTCTGTCAGTGAGAGCTCAGTGCTGTGGCAGTTTCTGTTGAGTACTAATTTGCTGTTTAACATCAGAAAAATTTGCTCTGAAAACATCAGAATGTCAGATGAAAAATTAGATTATGGTTTGCATAGTTACTGGCAGGTTTGCTTACCTGTTATGAGCATAGACATCTTCAGCCTCAGCAATTGCAGCACCGGGCTGATCTGTTCTGGTCTTGTGAACTAAGTGAAGTTGGGCCTCCTTGACTCCCTGAAGTCCCCAGGAGTCAAGCTTGACCTGAAACCATGTATCATCCGGCCTTGCTTAACTTGAAGTCAAATTCATTCCTGAATTTCTTCTAACTGTAAATCTAAGACATAATTAATAATAAGCAGAGAAGCTTGGATGACAGGAGGCACATAGATGGATTTCCGTTCTGTTCCCAAGCTATGAAATGTGCTTCCTTGGTTTTGGTTCTTCAGTCTGTTTCGTTTCTAATCGAACCTATTTTCTAATTTCTAATTCTAACCTACTTTCAGAAAAAGTGCCAGTACACATCTTTGGCATGCTCATCTGAATTAATAATAACTTCATTACTAAAGTATGTATTTTTAAAGTTTACTTATTATTTCTGTTCACCACCTTGAGAGTTCTGTCAGATGGAAAGGTGGAATATAAATTTAATAATAATAAATGTTGAGAAGGGCTTACGTGGACCAGCTGTCCATGAAGAAGCCCTCAGAGAGCTCATCCAAGGCGTTCCTGAATGTATTTTTTTAAAATAAAATTTTAAACACGTTATCCAGCAGAATGCAAAAGCTTTAGCTGCCAGTTATTATGTGGGCAGAGTTATTGTCGAGGGAGGTTCCTGTTCTGTGTGTTCATTTGTTTAACAGGAATAGAATGTGGCTTCCTGAACGCTCCTTGTTTTAAAAGGAATTCTAATGCTGATAATTACAGAGAGGAGAAATTAAATGTTGCAGGTAGTGTCTCCTTAAGGCACAAAGAGGAAAACATAGCCACTGCCTGTGGTTAGAGATTTGCTGGAAAAACGTGGTGAAATAGAGTTGAATGATGTAGCTGCATGGTTTGGATATAAAACTTGGGAGGTTTTTCATTTGCTTTTTGTTGGGAGAAATGCCAGGCCCAAGTGCTGTGCCAGACGAATAGCATTCAGACAGATCTCTTCTCTGAGCCTTGTATGGCAGTTGCGAGGCTGAGAGTCTTCGTTCTTCTGTTGTGCAGATGTTGAAGTACTCTAGTTGAATGTGCATAAGCAATTGTTAAATCAATAATCATACATGTTGCCTTTGCCATCCAGACCAGGTACACCTTGATTTCTGTCCTTAGGAGTACTGCAGAGCAAAAGAGTCCCACCAAAAGATCCGTAGAAGGACCTCTAAAGAGAACATTAAAGAAATGCCTTGGGCTGTGGTTCCAGGCCATTGAGTCAGATTCTGAGTACTTCTTCCTGATTAGTAGCCTAGTGTTCGCATTTAGTGCTAACTATAATAACTTCTCGGCCATGGAAGAGTGGCCCCACTTACGGTATGCTGTAGTATTCAGGATGGGAATAACTGTGATTAGAGGACCTTTGTATAGAAGATGCTTTAGCTCAGTGTTTCTCAACCCTGGCAATTTTAAGGTGCGTAGAATTCAACTTCCAGAATTCCCCGGTCCCCATTGAAACTGGTGGTAGGCGCTTGATGTCACGGAAGATGCTGTGGATAACTGAAATTACAAATGTGATCTTTAAGGGGCATGCAGGCTTGTTGAGAACAACTGTTACAGCATCTCAGCTTAGACAACGTGCCTATCAACAACATTATATAGCCTTGGGGATATAAGGTAAGAGGCCATAGTCTGAAGCTAAGAGACTGAATTCCTGCAAAAGAGTGTCTCCTGTCTTCCACTGGGTAGGTAATCCAAAAAGATCGCATAGTTGATGCTGGCAAAAAGGTTGCAAGGTGCCCTGGAGATTTAAGAAGGTCACATTTCCCTTGACCCATTTCCAGAATATAAGTTCAGAGCGACAGATGCAATTTCCTAAATGATTCTGTTACGTAGACAGAGATCGGGTCATCTCTGCTTGCTGTCCTTCCACTGTATCAACCTTTTGCATAACCCTTCAGGCTATTTTACACATCACAGTAAGCCAAGATAGTGGCTTACGGTGATAGAGCCAAGATGCATTGGGACATGCTACCTCACCTTTTTACAATAAAGAAATAGAGAAGCTTCTCTTTAGGTGCCCTGCCCTAGTTTGCGCTGGGGTTCTTGGCCTACATGTGCCAAAAACAAATCCTGACTTGAACCTTCGCAACCAGGAAAGATCTATTCCTTCTTGTAAATGAATTAATACACACGTTCAGCTTCACAGCTGAGCAGTGTGAAAATGACAAGTCAACAGTGCAGCTTGTTAGGCTGCTGTTTTGATTGCAAGCAGTATATCCTTATTGAAGATCTTGCTGCTTTTGCCCATGGCAGATAACCAGGAAGGAAAGAAATTAATGCTGAAGATTCAATGGATTTTCTACAACATCTGTGATGAATATATGTATTAAAAAGTAGCAATGTCTTAAAGGCTAATAAATGCTTTATGGCATACGATTCCTGCAGTGCCACAAGACTCTTTGTTTTTTGCTACAGCAGACTAACAGAGCTTCTCTGGATATTGATTAAAAATGTTTCTCTTCCCTCCATCCCTCCCCCTTTGTGTTAACTGAAAGTGATAGAGTTCAGTTGAAACACAGGGAAAATCCAGTCTAAATTTACAGTTTCCTCAATCAGAAAGAGGCAACCTTGAACTTAATGCACAAAGCTGTAATTTAGCTGTTTAAGCTCCTTTCACACCCCAGAAGCTTTCCAGCATTATCTGCACTCAGAACAATTACACTTTATAATTAAAATGTCAGATTTTGGAAATGACATCTGCCTCTTCACCCATGGTGGACAAATTCAGCCTCTTGTACAGAGATAGGTGGGATATTTTTGTCTTCAAACTAATCTGCTGGGCTGTTAGCTGAAAGTTTACTTTTAAGTAGTATTTAAAAAAAATGATGAAATTGACCATCAGTGCTTGTCATTGGTGTTCCCCTGCCTCCACTCTAGGATCTGAACTGGAAGAAAATGCATTGGCGACTTTGGAAAGTGCAGAATTATACTTCCTTTCCCATGTCTTCCTGCAGGGAACAGGATTTCTCTGAGATTGTAACTCTCAGTTTGCCAGCATGTCAGTGCTAAGCCCGGCAAAGGAATGTGATAGCAGAGCTGTTATTAACATGAGATTTGGTCAAGGCTTTCTTGGAACAAAGGGAAGGGTTGAAAGATGGGATGGCTTCTCAGGAATGGAATTCCATCCGATCTGGGTAGCACCTTGAAAACGGGCACCTTTTATGACTTCAGTTGGCACACTTTAAAGGTGTAAACGTAGAATTAGGGTCTTAGAGCTGCACTGATGATCGGTGTGTGCAGGTTCTGATAGATGGGAGCAGTGTGGGCGGAAAGCTCTCTGTGCCATAGAGGTGAGCCAGGGCATGAAAATATGCATTTGAAAGAGAAATGGAGTGCACTTCTGGAAGGGGTTGGTTTGGTGACTTGAAGGACTGGCATCTGGCCAGTTGACTGCCAGTTAGCCTGTGGTGAAGAACATGCTCTCTTTGTAACTTCAGAGCTTGCTTCTTTTAATTTAACTACAATCTAGTGAGGGCAGCCCTGCAGCTAGTAGGGCAGCCAGTGGGAGATGCTCTGCTGTGCTGTTCAACCACAAACACTGAATTGTCATGGTAGGGGTCGCTGGCTGCTGAACAGAGTCTTGACTAGGCTCGGGGAGGAGGTACAACTGGTCGAACTCTCAGACTCATCCTGCCTAACCCTAAACTGTTGTGGCTGTTTCCCACTAGGTAGCTTTTATTCAGCTGCTTAACAAGATAATACAAGTGTCATTAATGCTAGGAGTTGTGTTGATCGGGACTTAGATTGCAGAAATTGCTGTGTGTTGAACGTCTGTTGTAATGCAAAGCAAGCAGAACTTCTTCTATTCCAGACTAAACCTTTCCTGATTAACCTCAGTAATGTGCATGTTACTTTTCAGAAGTAAGCCAGATCATTTTAAATAGAATCTACAAACAAATTTGCATGTGAAAGGTGCAATTTTATACACACTTTGTAGGAAGTAATCCAACTGAATTCAGTGTGACTTTCTCCTGAGTTTACATGCACATAGGATAAATTTGCAAAAAAAATTTTTTTTTCCATTAAACATATGCACTTAATTATATTATTGCTGCTGGTTTATTTCTTACTGCTCATCACTTCTCGAATACTAAGATTAAATGAATTTCCAATTCTAATCCTGGTGGCAAGTAGTTTTGGCACCATGCAAAGAAATAAATCTGAACTTAATTGTTTGAATGAAAACCCAATCAAGCTAATTAGGCTTGAGAATTGACAAAGAAGTATTCAGGTGTGCAGAAGCCGCAAGGCTGTCTCTGTAGTGAAAAATGCACAGTATTATGTGCTGAAGGTTTTTGTAGAGTTAATAGATCTGGAGCGCAAAGATCCAGATGATCATTTGAAAGCAGTAGCAAGATACACAAGGCATTTATTCTTGGCACCCTTTCATGTCTAGAATTTTGTACCCCTGATCTCTAGCTATAACTTTGGTGGCAATATGCAGAATTTCAAGGATTAAAAGAAGTTTTTTCCTATTCTGCTTCCAGGGATGCTCCATTACAGATTAGATCCTTGGGGTGCCTTCTTCAGCTGAGAAGATGACCAGATTAAGAACTTTAAGGAGTTTTAAGCAAGTGAATAGGGTTGGATGTAATCTCTCCATCCCTAGAATTTTTTTTTTCAAATGATACATGTTTGGAATTGCTCATTCATTTCTAGATTAGTAGCTGTTGCCAGTTAAATAAACAAACAAGCATTCTTTGTTCACCTGCAGTACTTTTGGGAATTGTGGGATGTCCAGCAGGAGAACCAAAGCTTCAGTCCCTGAAGAACTCTCAGTCGTCGTTCAAACAAAGTGGGAGATGCTGATTGTCTTGTTTGTTCTGTACTTCTGCTTATCAGTCTCCGTGAACTAGGAAGTTCTTAGAGTAGAGTGTTTGACTAGACATGTGGACATTACTTAGCAACACTTTTTCTACAGCTAGGTTCCCCCTTCCCCAAATTTAATAGTTTTTCCTGGCCACTCAAGGGTACTCACAATAGTTGCATACAGTTGAATAGATACAACTCCCCCCCCCCAAGATGGAAGGAATTCAACAGAAGAAAGTAACATGTCCATGCAGCAATGTTTGGGTCCCGCAGGACCCTCTGCTAGGTCCCTGAAGGTGTCCTGTCTTCCACATGACAGACCATAATCGGAGAGATTATCCCAGTCTCTCTGGTGTGTGGAAGTTCTGTCTGCTGCTGGAAGTTCTCTTCTTGGTGTCATTTGAAGGCCTTATTCTACTTGGCATTTTAAAGTATTTAGATTTGAAGTTAATATATTCTAAAAATGGTTTTTGCCCGTTCTTAGAAATTATATATTCTAACTAGAGCAGCTAGAGTCAAGTACGGCCAATAAATCTTTCTCATAAAAATATCCTAAGGTTTAACATTTCTCAAATTTGATGGCATCTCAATAGGAGGATTTTTAAATGGTATTTTTTGTTGCATGGAGTTTTGTAAGTGATATTTCCAACACCATACAAGGCCCTGGTTCTTAATAAGTGAAACAGAAGAGTGTTCTGACGGCTTCCCTTTTTTCCTGGCCGAATGAAGAATTAGCAAAGGTCTGCAGACAAGGAAGGGGAAGCTGTGACTTTGGGAAGGATTAATCAGCCTTCTGTGCTTGCTGTTCATGTGGCAACAAAGAGCACAAAGGGATGAGGGCAAAGATACCCTGTTCAGTGTCTTGTATCTGCGTCATGTTTGCATTGATCTGGGCTTCTTTCCGCTGGTTCTTCTTTGCTTTTTACCTTTGTTTGGGAAAGCTTACTGAGTCACTAGGCTGATGGTGGAAATATTTGCGCATTGAAAAGAATCCGCATTGAGTTTCTCCAAAGACAATATGGCTATTTCACAGGCTTGTTTTATTGGACTAGATCGCTGGGAGAGGATGTTGTAGGGCAGCAGCAGCAGCAGCAGCAGCAGCAGATTTTCGTAATACCGTGCGCCATTCATGCACACTGTATTTAAAGGGTTGTGTAAAAATGGTGAGAGGTCCCTGCCTCAGCTGCAGGGGGACTGATGAGGTTAAGCAGAAATGGGGTGGCCAAATGAAGTGGTTGGGCTCCATTCAGTTTGAAGGAAGATTCAAGGGCTGAGATGGCCTTTGCTGGTCAGGAGGAATCGGCTTCTACTGGAGGAGAATGGATTGTTGGGGGAAAGCGCTGCAGTGAATTCTTTACTTCCTCTCTTAGAAGGGCAGGTCATGGTAAGCTTCCAGATGTGCCTGTATGTTGGGTTCTGCATTCTAGCAGAAAATAACCCCTTCCCAGCTTATAGCCTCGGATTCCAACTGTAGAATTGTTTTATAAAATCAGATTACTAGTTGGTTATCCACACATCCTCTTGATCTCATTCAGGAATAGGACACTTGATTGGTAATCAGAAGATGAGCCTTGGAAATGTATTCTCCTGCTTTCCTTTTTTAGATCTTTCCAAGAACAGATTTACTGAAATCCCTCCAGATGTGTGGCAGTTTGCACCGCTTGAGACATTGAACTTGTATCACAATTGCATCAAATCTATCCCTGAAGCCATTAAAAACCTACAGATGTTAACATATCTCAATATCAGGTAGGTCCATTTTTCTTCTCATCGTTTCACATCAGAGGGAGCCTTCTTGCTCAAGATGACTAGAAAAGCATTCGCCACTCCATGCTGTGTACAGCTCAGAGGTTGCCAAAATGTAAAATTGTACAAGGGAGGCTACCTTTGTTCTTGATGTTTCTCTTTCACAGTGTGGTGTTTGAGATGCAAAAGTTACCACTTGATATTTCAGGTTGCGGTTTCTAGGAATTAAGTGAAGGCTGAAAGAACATTGCTGATCTTGCCTTCTTGTGGGAAAACAGCTGAACTGACCACAGTACTAGAGAACTCCTTTTTTTCTCAGTGAAAGGAATGTTGTTCTGTATGTTGTGGCTGCTACTTTCAAATATACTGTATTCTATTTTGGGTTTAGAGTGTGCACAATCCCCACTTTCCCATGTGAGCTTAAAGGAGATACAGAAAGTAAAATGCATGAATTCCTCTCATGCTATGTACATCTACAGAGCAATGGAAGGATGATAAATTAGCATGAAAGGAGGAAAAACTAAGGCAGCTGGGCAGGAGAAAAGATCAGAAAAGAGAAGCTGCCCCGGAGCTTCACAAAAAGAGTACAGAGAGGAGAGAGAAATGGAGGAAGACTTCACAAAGACCTGTTCTCCCTCTGCACCCACCCCCGATTTATGCTATTGTAGGTGTTGAATGTTTTGCTCCTACATGTGCTCGTGAGATGAAACAGCATTGCCGAGAAGGCTTTTTATATATTGTGATCTACCAGCGGGGCTTGTACTGAAGTACTAAACACTGAGTCAATTTAAATGGAGCACATAGTGATTTTAATTGCTTCTGCATCTCAAAACACGAACAATTAGTAGCTGCCAGATGTTAACCCCAAATGTCTTTGTTTCTCTCTAGCCGGAATCTCTTATCTACATTGCCAAAATACCTATTTGATCTGCCACTGAAAGTTCTGGTTGTCAGCAATAATAAGCTCGTGTCCATTCCTGAAGAAATTGGAAAATTGAAAGATTTAATGGAATTGGTATATATAATTGCTTTACCCTTCTTTATCCTTAAACCATCTGGTCCTTACCCTTTGGCTTCACCCTTGTTCGTCAACAAACTGGACTGCAACCTGTAGAAAAATTAATTGTCTAGAGCAGTAATGGGCAAGCTTCAGGCTTCCCGGTCTTGTGGCCCCAAGTTCATAAAAGTCTCATCTGCTTGATTTATTTGTTTACTTACATTGCGTCATTGACTGTTGATTTACACAATAGAGTGCAAGCTTTTGAGTTTCCAAGAATGCTTTATCTTGCAAGTTAGGTGGTTCGTTCTTTTGGTGTGTGCGTGAGAGGGATACCATTGAGTTAGTCTTGACCCCTAGGGAATGCCTGGACAGGTCCTTACAATTTTTTGGCAAGATTTCTGGAAGTGGTTTGCCCTTGCCTTCTTCCTAGGGCTGAGAGAGAGGGACTGGCCCAGGGTCTCCCAGCTGGCTTTGTACCCAAGGCGGAACTAAAGCTCACATCTCTTGGTTTCTAGCCTGGTGCCTTAACCCACTACACCAAACTGGCTCTCTGTTATTGCATGATAGTTACTATAATGTTGAACTCTTTAAATTTGGCGATGAAATTTTTTCTGTAGCTTTGGACTTTTTGCCTCACATTCTGCCCCTTCTGTCTGCTTTCTTCTCTCCTATTGATATAGTTCAGGGTTAATAATATTCAGAGGACTTCATTTTGCATCATAAAAGCTTTATTTGTGAGGCAGGAATAAAATATGTGGATCAGTAGTTCTACAAGAATTCTCATTGCCTGGTTCTGTGCCCCACAAGTTCAGAGAAAGGTCTGGAGACAAGAAGTTAATCCAAATCTCAAGAGAGGTTGAAGGAGTTAGGTGCGTTTAGCCTTGCAAAGAAATTCCTAAGAGTAAGACCAGTTTGATTGTTGAACCAAGAAGATGGTGGGCTCCCGTTCACTGGATGTGTTAAGCAGAGTCTGAATAGTCACCTGTAGGAATTGCTTTCATTCGGGTTCATGGGGTGGAACTCTGTGGCCCTTTGGACTCTAAGACTCTATGGCAGTGTTTCTCAACCTTAGCAACTTTAAGGGGTGTGGACTTCAACTCCCAGAATTCCCCAGCATGGCTGTTTGGGGAATTCTGAGAGTTGAAGTCCACACATTTTAAAGTTGCTAAGGTTAAGAAACACTGCTCTATGGTTTATTTGACTATTTCAGAGAGATGCCTTCTTTGAAGGCAAAGCCAAAAACATCTGTTTTAAGAGAATCCTCCCCCTTCCCTTTCTAGCAAAACTGAAGCATTTCCTTGCCTCTTTTAAAAAACAGGTGTCTCTCTTCAAGAAGCATATTCCCTTGATTAAGTCATTTGTGTCAGAAACTGCTTGTTAAATTTTTGGACATTCTGATTCTCTGTTCCTTAACTTAGGATATTAGCTGCAATGAGATCCAGGTCCTTCCCCAACAAATAGGAAAACTGCACTCGTTAAAAGAATTAAATTTAAGAAGAAACAATCTCCACATGTTACCTGATGGTAAGCAATATTCCATCTTCTCCCAGCATTCTTTTTGATTCATGGAGACGTGTGTCTTATAATGTCTGAATCTCACCTTTTTCTTCCTTTATAATTAACAGAATTAGGAGAGCTTCCTTTGGTCAAGCTGGACTTTTCTTGTAATAAAATCACAGAGATCCCTGTGTGCTACCGGAAGTTACGTCATTTGCAAGTCATCGTTCTGGATAATAATCCAATGCAGATACCACCAGCCCAGGTTTGTTAATCTCCCTTTTTTTTCAGTTCAGAAGTGTGGTGGGGTCATGGGTGGCATTCAGCTTCATTCTTCCTTCAGCTGCTCTGTGGAGAAAGGGCATAGGCTCTGTTTGGCCACATCATCAGATGGAAGCCCCTTTTCTGCCTGAGCGCTTCTCAGTGCTCCATCCAATATAGCTGGAGGGGGGCAGGTCTCTGAACCTTTGGTTCTGGAAGGTCTCTCCTGCAATCACCAAAGCTGTGGGGAAAATGAGCTAGTGTTCTGCTTCATCATCTCAGCACGTAGAGTTGATGAAAAAGTTGGGCGTAGCCAGCTGCCCCAGAAGCAGCTCAGTAGCTTAGGGTGATTTACAGTATGCCCCCCTCCCACACACACACATCTGGGAAAGGCTGTCAGAAATGGAAAGGGTTCTAACCCATCAGACTCAAATTCTGTTTTGGTTCCCCCCCCCCCATTTGCTTCTTAACAGATATGCTTAAAGGGCAAAGTACACATTTTTAAGTTCCTCAGTGTTCAGGCATGCCTCAGAATGGATAAGAAGCCAGACTCTCTGGATCTCCCTTCCCTGGGAAGAAGAATCCCTTCTCAGCCGCTCACAGACAGGTAAAGCTGTCTTTCCTTCTTGAAAGGTAAAAAATGAGCATTTGCAAATGCTTAGGGCCTGTTCTGAATCCCATGTCATGCCAGGAACTTCATCACTCCTAGGCTAAGGTTATTCTAGTCGTCCCATTCCTGGCACTGCCTCTCTCGGTGTTTCAGTTTTCTCTCCCTTCCCCTGTCATCTCTTTTCCCCTTGCGTGTCAATCATCACTGCTAAGGTATAGCTAAGTTAGCTTGTTGGGCCCAGGGAGCAAGAGCAGCGTCCCTGTTCTTCAGTGTGGATGAGATTAGACACATACACTTCCTGGTTTAAGCCAACTGCAGCTTACCATTGTGTCCAAGCCAGTTCAGGGTGTTCAGTCCTGGCCCATGTCATCAGCATCTCTCATTACTGCCTATGCTGCTGGGCATTCTTTGGGAAGGCCACAGGTCCAGTCCCTTCTTCAGGGCTGTACAGGAGCAAGGGAGTGGTGTCTGAACTGACTTACTCATGTGTGCTAAACCAGTTTAGTGTTGGGTCTGCATTGGGTTCCTTGGTAATACAATTACATACATGATATCAACATCTGGATAAGGAAGAATGGGCATATAACAGGAGAATGGAGGCCCAGTTGGAGGTCAGCCATAGACTGTAGGGCAAGTCTTTTCTCACCTCACAGTTGAGCAAGGAATTAGGTAAGATTAACATTAAGTGTCACTTTCCCCACTTCCACAAGACTTAAATGGACTCCTGAAATTTTTCTTCCACTTTCTTCTACTTGCATCCAGAACAGTTTTACTAAAGGAGAAGTCTGCCATCTACTGCCAAAACAACTTCATTATATCTTTAGTTAGAAGAGGAGGAAAATCAGAGTACTCCTCCTCTTCAGTTGAGAACTTTTGTGGTGGTTTTTTTCACAAAATTATTTGCAAATATGCAGTCAGAATCATGATCAGCTGTCCCTCTTTTTTTTTTTTGATCCTGGACTTTGGATCTCTTCATCTGTGTAATCTGTTGAAAAATATTTCAAGTAGATTCTTAACCGGAGTGCTAAAAAACAACAACGCCAGTGTGTTTCTGCAATTGGATCAGGGTCCTCCTTCTGCTGAGGCTTTGATCAGTACACATAGAAAGTAAGGGAGATGGCCTTGGCAGAACCGTGCAGGAACCATTACATAAGCAAAAAGGGCTGAAACAGTCTTTACGTCCTGGGAAGGAAGATATTATCTGGAAATGGCTTAGGCAGGCCCCTTCCTGATTCACCGGGGTATATGAGGGAGGGGAGATGAAACACAGTCAGGCTTCCAGGTTTCTGGGATATAGCCAGCTCAATGAAGTATAGTTCTAGTCTTTCAGAGTCGATTTTCTGGCCTGGTCTGCTTAGTGGGGCTGACAGTGCAAGCCCAGCCTAGAGGTAGTTTGGCATCGTGGTAATTTCAGAGGTTAATTGAAAGGATGCACCACGGAGTTAAGTGCAAAGGCAGGTGGAAAGGAATGATGGGCAGCATACAGGACAGGAAATCCTCACGTCTATGGCGTATATAAAGGAAGTTTTAAGTATTTACTTAGGGTGACAATGGCAACAAAGGCTTCTCAAAACATTCATAGCACAGAAGTTCTTTTTCTTACTAAGCTCAGCTTCTAGCCTGTGACCTGACCCTGGTAAATACGTCCATATATGTCGGATTCTATGGTGTTCTGAGCATGAAGTTGTTACCCAGCACAAAGACCTAGTAAAATCTTGGGAACTGGGAAGTCAGGCCCTTTAACTGCTGTGGACATCAGGCCTCACATCTGCTGCTTCAAGTCTTTGTAGACAATCTATCTTCAGGACATTGTTTGCAGTTCTTTGGAGAACTGAAAATAACTTCCCAGTGTTAGTAACAGATGGTTCTTCTCTATTACAGTATAGAAGACTTCTACCCCAATAAAAATCACGGCCCAGACTCTGGAATTGGTAGCGATAATGGCGATAAAAGATTATCCACAACAGAAGTAAGTCTGCTCGTTTCTATATGGTTGAAAAGGAGAGAACTAGGTCTTTTCCCCCCTTTTCCATCAGTTTTGGGAAGGATCTCTTTTTTTTCCCTCGAAGTACGTGATATTGTCTGATAAATCTTTGCAGTCCATTTGATTTCACTACATGTGTTAGAAGTTGCTCTGTAGTGCAATGAAGTAGTATACATCAGCCTCCCCATATCTGGTGTCTCCAAGTGTGTTGCAACTTCACAATTCTCACAGTTGTATGGCCAACTTGCACAGGAATCGCTTCACAGCACAACTGGTGAGCAAGCTGCTAGGAAATGCATTAACTTTGGGTTACGGATTTGATAGCAAAAAAAAAAATCAAATTTCCCTGAAATGTTGCTTTTTTATTGGTTAGGTACATGAAACTAGAGGCAACTGAAGCATTTCTGGATGTGCTTTTGACAACCATTTACTCGCTGAATGAATGTCTGAATTGGATGATCCATAAAAGAAGCAAGTGTGCCTTCTGCTTTTTCAGGAATGCTGTAGTTGTGATCCTATCATCACACTGGCCTCTTTAGAAGATGGTTTAATAATGAGCGTTCATCAGAAAAACAAATGCAATACATTTGTGATGTTCTTAATTGTATTTCTACCCCCCCCCCCCCCCCCCC